CCCGTACTACACTCCCTCTCCCACTCTCCTCCCAGTGAAGATCAATGAGGAAGACGGATGTATTATTCAGCACATTAATTTAGAGGTGGGCGGTGTTTTTCTGTATTAGTGCTCTGGCAGGATTATTAGGATTGCTCCAAAAGATGATGAAGTTACAAGCAAAGATAGGAAAAAGTACAGGGGAAGGGAAACAGTTTACAGAAAGTGGACTTGACAGGTTCCTTGTGCGAGGTGGACAGAGCTGAAACACCTCTGGTGGCTCAGAGATGTTCTGGGAAGCTGTGTTATGGTGCTAATGGGCTTCAAGAGGCAGAACATGTCAAGGCTGGTGCTTTAGTGTGACCGCTGGGCTCTCACGCTGCTGAATGCTGATTAGTGATGGGAGGGCTGAGGCAAGATCACCGAGGATGAGACAGCAGTTGCGTGCGGGTGGCATACCTGTACAATGTACACTAAAACACACACACACACACACACACACACACACACACACACACACACACACACACACACACACACACACACACACACATGCACACAGAGACAGTGTGAGGGCGAGCAATACGGCAAACTCATCACGTCTGCTTATCGGTGGATCTGCAGTGCTCTCGCTTCACCTCTTGTCCTCCATAAAGAAGAGGCATTGGATTGTAAAGTGGTGGGTTATTTCTGTCAAGGGCCGACGCTGAGCATTAACTGTCTCCTGTCGCTGGCACTTCTGACGAGCAGAAATCCTTAATTTTTCACGGGCCGGCCTGCACTGAAACGTTTAGCCATTCAGTCCAGGCTTTCACAGGCAAAGTATGTTTAATGAGACATGCCATGCCATCTCCATCTTGTAACTCCCAATTGAGGAGACAATGAAATTTCATTGGCCCGTACAGTATAATCCCAGACTTCCTTAATGTAATTGGAAATCAAAGAGTCCCCTTCAGACTGTCCCTTTATTACTCAAAGCAGCTGGATGGGTTTTTTTTTTGTATTGGTGCAGTTATTGGTCTCCAACAGTTTCAGGATGTGGACCATTTATTGTGGGAAACCAATAAAGTTTCTTTACGATGGAGCCATAGTCTTACATGTGTATCAGAGGCTGTAGCCCTTGGTTTTATCAGCATTGTAACACTTGTTTCAACGGCTGCTCCAGGCCGGCTACTAGTACTGTGGGATTAAATGGTTCTCGTGGGTCAAGTCCACCAGGTATTGTCCGCATTAATTAAGTTGTGTCCTTGTGCTTCAGCATACTGTAAGTCACAATATCCTGAGATGATTACCTAACAAAACAAGTTTCTAGACTGCAGCGGAGTGAAAGACAAAGAGATTAAGACCAGCCTGCCTATCTCATTCTGTCTTCTGCCAAATGAAAACTTTTATTTCTTCCCTCCACAATTTTCCACTCTTTCAACCCCCCACTTTCCTCTGCGGCTCCAGCTGTTGCAGTGGCTCGACCAGTTATTAACACATAATTACAATCAATTTAGGAAGCATCACTGAGAGGACCAGTGCTGTTAGAAGCTCATTTTCTACTAAATTAACTTGTGCTCAGTGCAACACAAGTACATTTGAGGAAAAAGGCCTCCGAAATGTGTCTGTATTGTATTGTTTCTGTAAGTAAAAATGGTAATGATTATGGGTTTGTTTTGTCAGAACACGCACAGTGTTGGGAGTTGATTAATTGGGACACCATTAATTGAAATGTTGGTTGGTTTCTGTAAAAATAGCCGTGTAGTGCTTTGATAGCCATAGTTAGTCTCTTGGGCTGTGTTTAAATGGCACACAGAAAATGTCATGTGTATAAATCTATTACTGCTTGCAGATAATGAAGTGACTGAAAAATGGACCGAATTTACACCTTCATATGGAAATATTTAGATTTACAACCATTTATAGCCATGTATTTTCCCCAACACATTTTTATGCTAATCACCATTATCGGACTTAATTCAGCTGACTACTCACACGCGTCTTTTATTGTTTAGTGAGAGTGTACCTTATATACCTGAACATGGCTGTCCTCCCCCTCTCAAGATCCACTCCCCCTATGTACCTTTAATGTGTCATAGTGAATTGAGAACAGCAGGGTGGGAGGTAGGCTGCACACTGGGAACCCACAAGGCATGCCAAGATCAAGCAACGGAGAGAAAGGAGACATTCCTCTGCATACATGAATATCATTGCAGTGAGAGAGGAAGAAGAACAAAGAACACTGAAGTTAATGACTTCTCTCTATCTTCAAGTGTGCCGCTGCGTTTTCTCTGTCCAGGTTCAAAACAAGAAAAACAAGTAGCTGGGGCAGGAGTCCCAGAGAAAAAATGGCTCTTATTAGAAACATGTTATTTTCTTTACTTGTTATGTCTACTCTCATAATAAATCAAATTTGCAGTACTTCTGAGCTCTGTGTCTTTTAGATGATTGTTTTAGTTTTTCAGCCTGCAACTTTACTGTTTTGGTTCACTATGACTATGAATTGCATTGCCTTGGCCACAGCAGACACCTGTTTTCAGTCTACAAGAGCAGTAGTGTCTATAATGTGAATTCGTGGATGTTATATTTCCATCTGCAATTTTCTATAGTGGTCCCAGTAATACAGTATTTGTCATTAAGGTGTACTGAAGCAGGACACATGACATAGCTGAGCTACATTTGAGTTAAAAAGGTTTCAGTTGCAAGAACAATACTATAAATACTATAAAAATGAGCTCTATGTGTGATTAGAAAAGAGCAGAATAACTTATGAACCGGTGCACTTCTAATATGAACAACGAGGCATGTTTGTGCCTATTCATTTTCAGAGAGCAACAACCAATGGGGAAACCCAAAACACTCTACTTATGGTGTAACTTCTTCACTCACCCTGCTGGATGTGTAAAACTGTTAACCATATCACTTTAAGAGATGATGATTTGATATGTTTAAAGGAAAAATATGGTGTGGTCTTCAGTTGCTTAATACCTTTAATCATGAATGTTACGGAGCTTTGTAGATTTATTTTACTCTGTGTACTTAACCGCCCAGAGACTATACCTGAACATGTTGCCTACAGGCAGAGGTGGGAACCAGGGACATGTATTATATTCAGCTGTGTGTATATGTGTCAGTTACATCAGCATGCTAACATGCTCACAAGGGCAATGATATCATCTTTAGCAGGTAGATGTACCATCTAGTGTGTAAGCATGCTAACATTTGCTAATGAGCACTAAAGTACAGCTGAGTCTGATGGGATTGTCATTAGTTTTGCAGATATTTAGTGATAAACCAAAGTATTAGTCTAATTAAAATTTTGACCTGGATCAGTAGGATTCATCCTCCGTGGATCATGAATGTCCAACATTTCAGTTTCAGAATTTCTCTGTCTGCTGTCTCCTGGCTAATATTGAAGCTTTCATTAGTTATTATCCCAGCTGCCATCACAAAGGAGAACATTATCACTAGACACTGCACTGCTAGAAGACTGATAAATGATCACTATGCTGAATAATGATGACATTTGAATCATAAATTGGATCATATTGAAATTCTAATCTTTCTCAAAATGATTTTCAGTAAAATAATTTTCCTGACTTTATTCTTTCTTAATTCTGCACATGCTCTTCATTTGTATCATTGCTATGGTCAAGGTTCCATTGTGCGAGGCACTCCCAGCAGTTCCCAAGGAGCTGATCTGTAACCCATCTGAGATTGTGTGTGAATGCACAATTTATGCATGCAGCGCGTTGCTGAAGAAGAACACACATGTTTAACAAACCTGGACAAATAAAGGTCAAAGGAATAATCATCATCATTGCCACCAACATCACAGCATTTTAATATTTCCCTGCTCCCCTCTCTGCCTTTCTGCCAAACACCAGAACAGGCTAATTAAATCTTCTGTCAGGCATGGAAATCACTCTGCTTTCATCCTTCCTCCATTCACGTCAGTCACATCAGGGACATGCATAATGACACGTGTTTTAGGGGCTATAATTCCCTTGTGCATGTTAGACATTTCTCTCCGATCGCCCCCGCCTGCATGCTAATCACTAATGTGACGCTGTTTTCTAACTGCGTCAGGGTGTTGTACTTGTCCAGCTCCTTGTTTTAGAATGTGTCAAGGAGATTTGGTGGCAGCTTTATAGAAGCTGGAGAGTCAGTTTGAGAGGGTATGCAGATAAAACAGCACCACAAAGACATGCAGTTTGTGGGGAACACACACACACACACACACACACACACACACACACACACACACACACACACACACACACACACACACACACACACACACACACACACACACACACACACACACACACACACACACACACACACACACACACACACTCCCTCAGGGCTAACGTACTGTAGGGCTTTAAACTTATCTGCGACACGTCCAGGAATGCACACTTTCTCAGGAGTCTCTGCAGGAGCAGAGCGAGAAAATGTTGATCTGAGTGAAAAGTCAGTCAAAACACTGACACAACATTTAGCCTAACTTTCTCACAGCTGGAGAATCAAATATGCTAGTAGTTGTAAGAATTTACCAGTATGGACAGATGTAAGCATTAAAAAAGTTGAGAATTAATCTGTTGATTGTGTGTGTGTGTAACAGTATTTCCTGCCTCTGTTTTGCCCCTCTTGCTTCCAGCATGTGTGTGTGTGATTAAGCAAAGATGTAATGAATAGGGACAGTGCCCTGTTGTTTGGTCATGGAGTCTTGTTTTCCAGCTGAGAGAACCATTAACCTGTTAGGAGGATTGACTGTGCAGATCACACAATCTGACGTGACCACAACACAGACTTTTGGCTTAGGAGAAGTGTTTTCAAATGTAGCAATGAATCACAACTCTCTGACAGAGTAAACATGTACACATTGGTTTGTGGCTACATGGAAGCTTTCCACAGAAGAAAAATATGCTCCCTGTTATGAACATGTGCAACTGTATGAGTGTCAATCAGGGTGGTGTAGGGTCTACTTTCAGTAAATAACTGGAATGACAATGTTCTTTGTTTGTGTTCCTCAGACCAGTGCGGTGCTCTGTTCAGGAGGCTGTGCTCTGCTGGCTGTCAGCTCCCTGTTGGCCATCATCACCATCTTCCTGCCCAGTGGAGGATGTGAGAGGAGGATCTGCACCTTGGCTGGATACATGCAGATGGCTTCAGGTCGGTACAGATGTGAATACACACATAGAGATAGAAGCACACTCATGCTAGATACAACACATCCTTCTCACAAATAACCTACGATGTTCCCGCATCTGTGTAAAATCCATCATTCAAATAGACATCCTTCACTATCCCATCTTTCACCATTAGAGCCACTCTGCAACAAGCACTGATAGCACTTCCTATTACCAGATCTGTAAAAAAGGAGCTGACTTTGATGCCCATCAGTCACAAAAACAAAAAAAAAAACCCAAAAGAAACAACTCGAGGACAGCTGCTGCTAGGCAACCAGTCTGCATGGCACATTCTGGTAGGGGTGAACCGGCAAAGGGAAGGCAAGGATAGATTTAGAGCCTGTAAAAAGACAATTATGCCTCCTTAACACAGGTCATTGGTTCAGGGCTACATGTGACTTGTCAGGCCGCCGCTTTCACTCAGGGAACTAGTCTCGTAAACAAAGCATGGTCGTGTCAGTGCCCGGGCTTTAAAAACCCATAACACAGCACGGCTCATGTCACCGCTCAGTACCGGCCTTCACACTCTTGCCTTGTGCATCGGACCATTTTAATGGGAGTTGGTGCAAATGTTTTTCTGCCATTATATGAGAAGATATGCTTCCTGTGTGTTTTAGTTAGCAAAAGTTTTTCTTTTCTGTGTTACACCTTCACATTTACCATGGTAATAGCTCCTACTGCCTATTTGCACTATTTAAGATAAAATAATGTGTCACAATGTAGCATACACTCTGTTTTTGTTGTTGCAAGTATGAATCAATCAATCAATACATTTTTAGGTGGACTTTGTGTTCAGTGCAAAGTGGAAAATGTTGAAATGCTAACACGGCAAAGTGAGATGTGGAACGTGGTAAACATGTACCTGCTAAACATGAGCCTTTTAGCATTGTCATTGCCTCACAGAGCCGTCTGTGTAACCGTAGACTCTTGTTTCTCTGCATTCCTGCCTTTTCTCAAGCTCTTCTAGCACCTCTGATGCCATTTTGATTTACTGAAGTCACTTCAGCTACCGCCTCTGTTCTTCAGGTCGACTGATTCGCAAAGCCTTAATCGTTATTTTTCCCCTCTCTCATTTATTTGGCGTCGGCAGCAATTACATAGTCTCTATCCTTGAGAATATTGAGTGGCTAATTTAAATCCCTGCACGTGGCATTTAACTAAGTGTAATTAGTGGCTGGATTCATTGGGCAGGTTAAATCTTTACTGACAAAACTGGAACTTTCACAGGGCATGGTTAATGGTGTGTTTAAAGTGGCGCTTATTGCTTATAGCAAGACTCTCATACTTCTCTGTCTGACTCGAGAATCAGATCAATGTCGCTTTGGGTGAGACGGAGTCTGTGGCAAAGCAAGAGCGCTGATCCTCTTTAAATGTGTGTGTGCGCATCTGTGTGTAATCCCGCTCTGTGCAATGGAGCTGTGTCTTACGTGGCGACAGACTTTGCTAAATGACAATGAGAAGCGAGGAGCCGGGTCTTTGTTCCGTTTCCAGGTCGACTCTTGTCTAGATAGACGGAGGTTTCACAGAGAGCCCACAAAGCCCTGAGGAGGGCAGATCAGAAGAGTGTTTGTTTTCCCAGCGTTGCAAGTATGTGTGTTTGGGAGTGTAAGTGTAGTGTGTGTGTGTGTGTGTGTGTGTGTGTGTGTGTGTGTGTGTGTGTGTGTGTGTGTGTGTGTGTGCTACCAAAGAGAGCTGATAAACTGAAACAAGAAGATTAAGAACAATAGTTTTCTTTGTGGTGTGCACATTATCAGTGCTGCTTTTGAGGGTGTGTGTTTTCTTGCACACTGGGAGAAATGAACTGCTGACGAGATGCTGCTTGTCAACTTTCCCTTTGCAGATAGTGATGCCTTTTTTGATTCCCATGTTTTCTACAATATCTCTGACAGCCAAAGGAGATGTCGGTGTGTTTGCGTTTGTGTTTGTGTGTGTGAGAGTGTGTGAGGGTATGTTACTCCATTGATGGCAGCTGAAAATCATTATGAGGATAAAAATAAAAAGAGAAATCCTACAAAGCGAGCACATTTTGCTGATCATTACTTATTTTATGGTTTGGGGGTTATGTTTAAAAGTAAGGGTTTGAGAGATCATTGCTTCATTTGCATTATTTCCTGTTATATTAGATTTAAGCAAGACATAATGCAATAATTAATGAATGACTTAGGAAGGGCAGGTTTATTTGATAGGCAGAGTACTTGGACCAGAATGTCACAGTTTTATTAGGTAGAATGTTTATTTGTTGGCTGGCACATGCTAAATTACATCCTGTAGGATTCACTGTTTACTGTTTAAAGATATCAGACATGTCTTATGACATATAAAAATACTTTGCTTTGAATAATGTTTTTTCTGATGCTGTTTTTTTTTAACAAAGTTTATTTCAAGAGTTTAAAGATGTCCCCTAAGTGTGAATTGTGAAACGTGCAGCAAACTGTGTACGTTGTGTATTACACCATGATTGGCCTCCGAAGTAGTAGTGAGGTCACACAATCACATAGTGATAATAGAGGGGAACTTAAGAATTGTGTGTACGTGTGTGCGTGCGTGCGTGCGTGCGTGCGTGCGTGTGTGTGTGTGTGTGTGTGTGTGTGTGTGTGTGTGTGTGAGTGTGCAAAATGTTGCAAAACATTTCCAAAATTTTGCAAGTTTACCTCATACAAACTTTGACTCTGATTGGCATGTTAGGATGCTGATGTTAGCATTTACCTTAAAGCACCACTGTGCCCAAGTACAGTCTTCATTCACTCATTCAATGATTATTTAATATTCACAGAAAAATCATTGGGGGTGACACTCATTAATAATGACGCCGAGATTACATCATGGAAAATACAAGTATACAAATATACAAAAGTCTAATTAAGGGCACAGGTGACAGCGCCTTCTTCTAATATAGTGGCTTTATATAACTGCACTTTTCAAGTAGTTGATCTACAGATCCTTTCTACCAATATGTGGACATTGTTCAGACTGACAAACATAAACAAAAGCAGTCTGCACTCCTTACCAAGCTGCATGATAGCATCAGCTAGAGGCTGAATCATTCTCTGCTCTAAACTGTGGTCATATACAGCCCACATCCAAAACACTTGCTGTTTCCATTTACAGCAACATCTGCTGTATCACTGCTACTATCACACAGCTAGAAGGTAGGAGGCACAACCAGAACTGTTTGTATGTTCTCATAGAAGTAGTCACATTATGACATGTCAACTAGTCTGTCATGTCTTGCTCTATAAACACACACTTGCATACACAGCCGAGGGCTGGGTTATACTAGGAAAAACCTTTTTTCAAGGTAAAGCTGCCCAGCTCTCTCTCAGCCCTGTGGTCCCGTGGGTGAAGTCCAGAATTAGATGTGAACTTGCTAACCCACCGCTGGTGGAGCTCAGCGCTCCATCCAGTGGTTCAGCTGCTGCGCCACCAAGCACCGCCGCCATCAATGTTTTACACTCTGAGAGAGAGGGAGGCAGTACATTTCTGTGTGCTAAGGCGGGGAGCTTTTTCTCTTCTCATGCATATTTCATCGACATGTTCTTCTTAGTGGTCAGGATCCATTGGATTGGACGGCTCTTTGGTCAGGCTGTGTGTGTGGAGAGAATGAACAGACAGGGAGACATGCACAATCCAATCTAATTCTTTGCAGGCTAAAGAAATACAAGCATTGCTGCACTCTAATTTAATGCACATTAAAGACACACAAACTTAGCATTTTATATCAATTTCTACATTCAGGCAGCTCAATTTTGAGTAACAGTGACTTTACCCTTCATTCTTGCCCCCTGCTTATTTCAGTTCATTTTACTCAGATCCACCCGCTGGCAGAGGCGGCTGAACACTGCGTTGGGGTTTCGTTGTGGTACAACGCTCAGGCAGATTCTTGCGGTGCAGTTATCTGTTCAGGGCTGAAGACATGTCACACTTGGATGAGTGTACAAGCACTCGCTGCACATACAAGCTTAATCTCAGCTGTTTTCCTGCAGGGTTATAGCCATATTAACATATGGAGATAATTTACATTATGTGCGTACATAAAAATGTGTGGATTTTATTTGCTGCCTTGATTGCCTGTTGTTTTCTCTTTTTATTGATTTGACTGCGAGTAGTATTCCAGTTAAAAAAAAAGTTAGTAAAAATGGTTCTGTGGGAGTTGCTTGTGTTGAGGACTTGAAAGGGATATGCCTGGAGCTGTGTTTTTTTGCTCTTGAAAGAAATATGAACCACAATGTTTTGGTCTTACCTGTACAGCCGGAGATGTTTGTGTTGCTTGTGGTTTTTCGTTGTTACATGGAGAGATAAAAGAAGAGAAATGGCACTCAGCAATAAACAAGGTAAATCTGGCTTTACTTTGAGCGTTGAATTTGGCAACACTGTTTTACTACTACTTTAAAACCCAAATTGTCCACATGAGGGATCCTGTAATTTAAAAAATACTTCCATGTGCTGCAGCATGAAAATGTTTGTTTTTCCCAAAACGTCAAGATCCTGCTGAAATCCTTTTACTTCAATCACACACTGAGTAAAAAAGCGGTTTCCCAAGCAGAACAAAGTTGAGTTAACAGAAGAATTATCTTTTTTAAATTATGTTTCACTTTAGATAGAGGTTGAAACCTGAAGTAGTACAGTGCCTAACTTTACTTTGTACATGTAGATTTGATGTACAAAGCCTGGCATGTTATTTTACCATTATGTAGACATTAATTATTATTATTTGTAATTATTTACAGCATTAGTTCTCAATGTTTATTTGAACCTTTAAAATAAAGCAAATGCAGGCATTTCTATGAGCTGTGAGCACTTCAAGAAAAGAGCAATCTGTTTTGTATGTGTTTGTTAGAACACTAACAGCATCTGTTAGCACGCTAACATTTACTAATTAGGAATAAACTAAGACTGTGAACATGGTAAACAGTAGGTAAACAGCTCAAATAGTCTTTATTAATTAATTAATTAATTCAACTTTTATTTAAGATTCTCTGAGAA